ACACTGGTACAGATAGGAACTGGAAACAGAGAATTCAGGGCAGATGATCCCTTCAGGACCAAAGGTGTGAGTGGTGATACTGGGAGGGTACAGGAAGGGTGGGTTGGAAAGGGGGAACCGATTAACCAATTACAAGGATTTACATGTGACCTCCTCCCTTGGGGACAGACAACAGAAAAGTGGGTGAAGGGAGACGTCGGACAGGGAAAGATATGACAAAATAATAATTTATAAATTATCAAGGGTTCATGAAGGAGGGGGGAGTGGGGAAGGAGGGGTTAAATGAAGAGCTGATGTCAGGGGCTTAGATGGAGAGCAAATGTTTTGAGAATGGTGGGGGCAATGAATGTACAAATGTGTTTTACACAATTAATGTATGTATAGATTGTGATAAGAGTTGTATGAGCCCCTAATAAAATTATTTAATTAGAAAAAAAATAGCAAAGGGAGAAAGGTAAATGAGAGGGAAAACATAACTAGTTGAAGCAGATTGAAAGACAATGATTTTACTACCTGGATTTATGATTCATTTGAACAAATTTATTTCAACTGATTCTATAAAGTAATTTTAGAGGGATATTTTTTAAGATTATAATGAACATTGTGTTTGGGAAGTGTTTACATATATGTGTATATCTTAATATATTTATTAAGATATGGCAAACTAAATGACCCTTCTAATTGAACTAAATGGGAATAAATGAAGATTTACATTAAAAAAAGACCATGTTGGGAAAACAAGTACATCAAAAAGCTTGCTTTTAATTAGGCTGTAGATTTATCGCCAACTTTTGTTATCCAATGAATTTGGCTAAAATAGAGAAAAATTAGTTTTCCACCTCATCAAATACAATGCTGCAGCCAGATTCAAGCATTCCCACACTCCTAAAGAGCGCAAAGCCCTCGCTAATATGCTTAGTCAAACTACTTTCATTTTATGAGAGAACAAGCATATGCACAGAAAACCAAACAACTGGGCTGTGCGTATGCACGCTTAACCCACATCTGCTTCTTCTAGCTCCTACAATTCCCATTTTTACTCTCTGACAAGTGCTAGACTTGAAGGTAAACTAAGAGGACTACTATACTTCTTGTTCTTTAATGTCAAAGATGCTAATACACGTTTCAATCTTCAATAAGGCTCGGTAATTTTTAAAAATCTATTCTCTCATTTCCCCTAATTATGAAAAAGCACAGCCGATTACAGCATGAGATTGAAATAAAAAGTTATGACATAACAGAGTGGACACAACTAGTCAATTATTTGATACCAAGTGGCTCAAAAATTTCTCTTGAACTGATGGAAAGAAATAGTTTTTCATTTAAGGAGGAGGATATATAATTTTGATTTATAGGAATATTTCATAAATACTTGGGAGTTAATAAATATTTCATAATTCCCCTGCATACTTATAATATTCTTAATAGTTCTCCATATATGAAAAATAAGTAAAAACTAGAAAACAATTTCTTCCTAGCCAAAGGATCAACAAACTTTGTTAATGGTTAGGAAGTAGTTATTTTAGGCTTTGAGGGAGTCTTTGATCTGTTACAAATACGCAACCTTGCTGTTGTATTTTGAAAGCAACCACATAGTCAATGCTGAGACACAGAAATGGGGTTGTGTCTAATACAACTTTCTTCATAAATTCAGAAAGTTGGTGAGATTTAGCCCAAAGGCCCAATATTGCCTGATACAGGCTGTGGTTGTAGCTTGCAGGATCCATACCTCGCTTAATGAAGAAATGCAAACTGTCTTTTAAGTGGAGGGAAAAAAAAGACTTCTTTATTCCAGGTAGGGGATGATTGGGTGGATGAGGGGTATGGTAGAGAGAAACAAAAAAACATACACATACAGAGTAAGAAAGAATCAACTCTATTCGGTTACCTTCTGTCGACATGAAGTCTTCTCTTGAAGTAGTTTTTATACCCAGGTTATCATCACTGTCACATTCTGTAAGGCAGAATCAGTAAATACAAATGAACTTCTGACAGTTATTGTACTATATATATTCTCAAGCTACTATTTTTTTTTTTTTCAAGCTACTATTTTTAATGTCTTCTTCCATACCCAAAATTACTAGTTGCAATTACACAAAATTGCACCATTTTCCCATAGGACCTTAAAAAACAAACAAATAAACAAAAAACCTTACATGATAATCTTAAGCCCCAACCAAACCTATCACCGCCAAGTAGATTCCAACTCAGAGTAAATTTCTGCAGAAGCACACTGCCACATCTTTATCCTACAGGGTGCCAGGTGGGTATGAACCACTGCATCACCACTTCTTTCCCACACCACAGATACAAATCAGAAAGACTAACGATGGTGCTAAGAACACCTACATTTTCGTTAACAAGTTAAGAAAACATCAGGCAGCAAGGTTTTCAGAATGCAGTCCAGCAATTATTTTTATATAATGCCTATTCAGTAAGAGTGGGATGCTGCTTCAGTCAGCACTCAATACGTAATACAATAAAGTATTATGTTTCATTTTTAGGATGGCTGAAAGCCACATTAGATGAATACAACAAAGTTACAGGCCCACAGTCTGTGAAATATTTCATTTCAAGAAAAAGTATCTACACATAAATTCTTGTCAATTGAATTTAATAATTCATAAACGCTTATGTTCAAATTTGTCCGTTCAAAATTTAAGAAGAAATATTTTAGGTAAATACACAAAACTGTAAGGCAGATGTTTAATTTATTAAGTAGTAAACAGTTGAATACTCAAAATTATTTTTTTAAGGAAAAAAACAAAAAAACTAGTGACTCAAGTCAATTCCAATTCAGCAACAATATGAGCTGACCTGTGCTGCACAGCTTTCCAGTGGTCGTGACCTTGTGGAAGTCACCAGGCTTTTCTGCCAAGGTGCCTCCGGATGCGCTCAAGCTGCCAAGCTTCTAGTTACTAGCAAACCACCATTTGGCCATGCAGGGACTCCTTTTGTCTTATTCTTCAACTAACTAGATAGAGCCAAGTTCTGTTCTATGAAAAGATTTCTATGGGCCTACAAACACCTTTATTTAACATCAAGGTCAACAATGAAACAATGCAAAAGAATAACTCAAAAATTCAGCCATCAAGAAGGATGCGTTAAAATAGGTACAGCAAACTACCACTTGGAAAAATTAAAATCAAAACAAAAAAATCCAACTTAGAATGCAGTTAATGTAGTGAAAACCATCATTATTGTATTATATGGAAACTACGCTATAGTGAGATAGGGAGGCAATGTCATAAACAAACATGGTGATGCACGCTCCCTTTAGTTTATATGCTCATCACTAACGTGGATTTCTAAGGTTTCCAGAAAAGCAGCAATTACATATATCATTCTCAAGTATCAGCTATCAGTTCAAACAAGGAGGAAAAACCCCAAACAACTGAACTTTCTGTACTCTGAAGCATTTATACTGAGTAGAAATGGGGAGGAAGCAACAAAAGGGTATTTCTAGTTAATTTCTCAGATAATGTTTATACTAAAATTACTGTGCTTGTAGTTCTTGTGCTCAAAATGTTGATTGTACGTAGCTTCCCTTGAGGGGGCACACTTATTTAATTATGAGACTACCGATCCTATGGAAATGACAATGCTAATCATTTTCTTTGGCTATCTTCAACAGTTTACTTTTAAAGTACCAAAACTTTTAAGAAACCAATATTTTTATCTTTTGACTAAAACAAACACATTTTCCTGAATATATTATTTAAAAGAACATAACAAAGTATTTGTAATTCACTGATATTCTCATATATAACTATGTGGTTGGATCACATAAGATTTCTTACTACTTTCATTCTTCCAGGACATGGTTAGCACTAATCACTCACAATGGATGAATGTCCATCATGAAACCAAGGATTTGTGCCAGTAAAAACTTCAGCTTTAGCAGGCCCTACTGATGAGGAGAATAGTATTTACTGTGTGGCCAAAGATAATTTAAACTTTCTGGACCGCCACTACCTCATCTATAAAATAAGGTGCTATCAAAAAAAAATAAATAAATGAGGTGTTATCATAGTGTTACCAATAGGACTGAATAACACTTGGAAACATTTTTAAACACTACAAATATTTTAAAAACCAAAATACCCAGCAAGCATGGTAGCCGACACAGATTGCCAGGTCTTTGTTTCCCTTTTTTAAAAACGGAACATTTAAGCGATGTTGTATCTGTATCTCTGAAACAAGAGACTTGAGTTAAAATGAAGGCATGTTTGTGGGTAAGATGTTCTGATTAAGAATACTACGTGTATTGTACACTGCATAAGAACTGGAAACACAGGGAATCCAGGACTCCTCAGGACCAATAATGAAAGTAGCCATACCAGGAGGGTAAGGGGAAGGTGGGGGACAGAGGGGGAACCAATCACAAGGATCTATATACAGTCCCCTCCCTGGGGTACATACAACAGAAAAGTGGGTAAAGGGAGACATCGGACAGTGTAAGACCTGACAAAATAATAACAAATTATCAAGGGTTCATGAGGGCGAGGGAGAGGGGAGGGAGGGGAAAATGATGGCAACAAATGTACAAACATGCTTGACACAATGGATATATGTATGGATTGTGATAAGAGTTGTACGAGCCCCCAATAAAATAATTTTAAAAAAGAATATTACGTATATCTATGCAAGTTTTAGAATAGATTAGAATAAATGCAGTGTAAAATAGAATGGTAGAATAAGGGTGCTAATGGTGTCAATTAAGGAGAAGTTAACAGATATTGAGAATGCAATGTCACTATAGAAATTAATGTATATTCCAAAGCTATAATGACATGTTAGTGCTGGCCACCCTGATACTTACACCAAAAGAGAATTTACAGGGCAGAAATGATGTCTCAATTAAACCATAAATTTTGTCTCGCTCCAATGAATAAACGGATTTATCATAATCAAGTCAGAGATCTAAAATAGTATGAAGTTACTTACCTGTTCCTTGCACATTAAGTAAAAAAAGAGTACTGTATGACCAGGCATTCATATATTTCTGTTTTTACACTGAGATATATATTTACTGAGGAAACTTACAATTCACTTTGAAAAATCAGCAAGGTCTACATTTTCAAAAGTATAGGAGTGTACCAATGATCATACCAGATGGTCACTAATTTCCTAACGGTCTTCAAGAGATTCTTCCTTGACTCTTGCTTACACAGGGGGCTCCAGTCTGCAAACTATTTTTCTAGCTCTAAAACCCAAACAAAACCCACTGCTGTCAAGCCTATTTCCAATCACAGCAACATTAAGGCAGAGTAAAACCCTTTTAGTTTCTGAGACTATAAATCTTTGTGGGAGCAGAGAGCCTCCTTTTTTCCCCATGGAGAGACTCGATCTCAAACACTGCTGTGGTGGCATACGGTCCAGAGGTTTATCCTTTGAGGCACCAGAGCCCCCCTTTCTGGCCCTATTAATGATAAACTTCTGAAAAGTTAAAGACAAGAGACTCAAACTTCCATCATTTGTCTATGCTATGGTGATTTTTAAAGCTTGAAAATCACAAGCCTCCATGTAAACTGATGCTAGTTGAGGTAACTCACTGTTATTTACAGTACTGCTGTGTGCTATCATATATCAGTGATGTAAACATACCAGAGCAGAACTGCCTCACAGGATTCCTAGACTTTCTCCTGCAGTTATTGGTAGGTTCTAATCACTGACTTTAGGGTATCAGCAAAGTGCTTAACCAGTGTGCCACGAGGGCTCCTTCTTTGTAATGAAGAATCTTGGGACCAAAACCCCCTAAATCTGTATATAAAATCGTTTATGTTAATTTTGGGGGAAAGTACAGAAGCTTTCAACAGATTCTCAAAGAGGAAAATGAACCAACCTCCCTCACATCTCTCCTCTCCAATACACGCAACATGCTTAAAACCGCACTGCTGTACAGAAACCATCTGGTTATCAAACCTGAAGATAGGAACACTGATAAACGACATGAACAGTTATCCTGGCATTCTTGTAACCAAAATTACCTAAAGGCACAACAAAAAATTAGTCTTCATGGTCACTGAGAGATTCTCTTAGTTACAATACATATAAAATACCATGCTGTAAGACAAAACATTACTTTCCTGCTCAGAGCCCTTTGTTAGGAAAGGTGATGGAATAATTTCCTAACTCATATATAAGAAAGCAACTGTTGAAGGAATATTAATAATTTATAAATTATCAAGGGTTCATAAGGAAGGGAGGGTGGGGAAGAGAGAGGAAAAAAATGAGGAGCCGATACCAAGGACTCAAGTAGAAAGAAAATGTTTTGAGAATGATGTTGGCAACCAATGTACAAATGTGCTTGACACAAGGGATATATGTATCGATTGTGATAAGTGCTATATGAGCCCCTAACAAAATGATTAAAATAAAAAAAGTAACTGTTCTTTGCTTTTTAAATTATTATTATAAAGTTTACTACCAGGCAATATGACACCTCTCTTAGAGTCTTCAATGAAGTTTAAAAAAAATTGTCTTGGATAACTCAACTTAAATATACTGTGTCTTAGTAGAACTTATTTTTACTTATTGAAGGGATTTACGTCATTGGCTCTTTAAGTCATATCAAAGATAAAATTTAAAGACTACTTCCTTCACCACTTGGGTTATTTTCATCACATTTTAAATGTAGGGTTTGGGCGCAATAATAGATTTTTTATGGGACTCATAGTAAAAATAGCTGAGTACATACAGTAAAAACTACTAAATACATACAGTACTTTTTATAGCATGCTGGACATTTATATATATATAAATCTTAACACCTTACCGCTATGAAAAGTGAGGCTTTAAGGAAACAAAATAACATGCCTCAAGTCACAGATTGTAATGAGCAAGCTAGCATTCAAGCCAAAGCTCACACCCTTCTTCATGCACGGCCAATCTCTGCATTTTATAAAAACTCAGAATAAGTTATGGGGTCCCAGAGAGCAAAGATTTAAAAGAACAATGAATATGCAAGTATGATAATAATAAAAAAGGATGCATAGCTAAACAGCATTCAGAAGGGCAGCACCAGTAGACAATATGCTTCTATCCCACACCTCTAACCCTCATATAGCTGTACAAGCCTACTCACTCGTAGTGCCCCTTCCAAACAACTGAACGAGAGGTAAATCTTCAACAAGCTTCACATTGTAAATCATAAAAGAAATGCTCCTCAAAGCAGCAGCAGAAGGGGAATTAGCTTATGGTGGCAAAGAGAAAAACCCGAGCATTTTACAGGCAATTAAGCAGATATTGTTAAGGACTGGGGAATGGATAGGAAAAGAATGACAAGAAAAAAGGAGCCAAAAAAGAAACCGTACATAGAAGACAAATGGGTGAAAACAAACATTATAGAACAGGAAGATGTAATTCAGTCCTAAGGCATGACAAAAGTATGAAACAGAGCTCATCTTGTCATTAGTACTCTGCTTTAAAGAATAGACTCTTAGATTAATGATGTTTACCTTTCAAAAGTGAATAGAAACTGCTGTTAATTCATGATTAGAGAAGAAAAAAACCCCAAAAAGATTGAGGTTTTAATAAAAAAATGTGGTTTAAATACATTGGGGAAAAAAAGTTCTGGGGGATGGGCAACAGAAAGGTGGGTGAAGGGAGACGCTGGGCAGTGTAAGATATGAGTGAATTCCAGGAACCCAAGAGGAAAGCGAATTTTGAGAATGATGAGGGCAACAAATGTATAAGTGTGCTCTACACAATTGATGTATGTATTGTGATGAATTGTATGAGCCCCAATAAAATGATTAAAAAAAAAAGTTGAGAAGGCAAGTGGGAGTGGAAGATTTTTAAATATATAATAAATTTTATTATATATTGCTTTTCTTTCAGGTCATTCATCAGTAGCTTCAGATTTTACTTATACCTTCATATGGCTAAGAATTTTTAAAATAACTACACATTTATTTTTTTCTTTCACCCACATTTATGTCGGCAATTCTGAGGAAAATTTGAATCCCTACAACTGCATGGTCCCTTAAATACTGAGCAGTGGCTTTGCGCAGTGAAAGCACTCCCTTTCCCTGAGCAGTGCACACGCATGAACAAAGGAATGCACAGCATTCGCAGTAAGACAGGAGGAACCTAGCCTTCCCAAGGACCTCTAGAGGTCTTTTATTTTGTCACTGTCAAGTTCTGAAATGCTTCCTTTCTTTTTAAATAAGAACTTTGCTTTCTGAAAAAAATGGAGATACATTTGGAATTTCACAGAAACAAAGTGAAAATCTAAATTCTGCAAAATTGCATCAACTTATTTCAATCCTGATTATAAATTTGATGCCTACAGATTTGATCTCCAACATTAAAAAAGGGTTTCAGAAAGCTATTATAAATTCATTCTCTTTCATCAAAAAAAAAAATAGAAGAATTAAAGTAAGGCACAGAAAGGAGACAAAAGAGGTAACAGCGAGAGCGTGCTGGCTTAGTTATTAGGCAACAATTCACTGGTGGACAGCAGTTTATTGTTCTCATTCAGCAGTGAAATCTCCTCTTGGGCGGTTTGCACTGTGACTGCAGCTGCGTACCTTTGGTGGTATCAGATATGCTATTTAACAAGGCACACATCATATCTCCCTCCAAGTGGTGAGGGTTCAATATATGAGCTGGCCTCTGAGTCTTCTTGAACTGATTCTCGAGCTCCAGAAAACCTTGATCTCCTGAGAGGATGGTAAAAGGAATCTGCTTGGGCAGTTGTTCATCCAGACGGCCGGCCTATGTTGGAACAAACAGCATATGTTACAGAAATCGGCCTGTGTGCTTTAAATCTAGTTATAGCTGTTTAAGAATAAATCGGTATTTAAAAGGTATATGAAGCGAGTCTCTAGCCCCTACAAAAGATATAGAGATATCTTTCCTAAATGGAAGATAACACATTAAATAAAATACAATATGCTTTCAATTACAAGATGAATTGTTTTATGTACAACTAAGAAAGAAAACAAAGAATCAAAATATAATTTTAAATAATTCTGGGAACATTTTAGTGAGTCCTCAATAACTGCTGCCCAATCTAGATTATTCTATTCCTTCAATATAGAGGTCTAAATAAAGACATGTACATATGCAAATATATTTATATGAGATGGGGAAATAGATCTATGTGCCTATATTTATAGGTTTAGTATTAAGGTAGCAGAAGGACATTGGGCCTCCACTCAAGTACTCCCTCAAAGCAAGAATACCTTCTATTAAATTGGCATTCTATGATGCTCACCTTCCCGACACAACCGCTGAAGACAAAGAGGGCAAATAAGCAAATGTGATGAAGAAAGCTGATGGTGCCCGGCTATCAAAAGATATAGCATCTGGGGTCTTAAAAGCTTGAAGGTAAACAAGTGGTCATGTAGCTCAGAAGCAACAAAGTCCACATGGAAGAACATATCAGCCTGTGTGATCACGAGGTGTCAAATGGATCACTGAAGACAAAAGGGTGCATAAGCACACCAGCCTATGCAATCAGGAGGGGTCGAAAGGATTAAGTACAAGGCATAACAAAAAATCTTACCATAGTGAATGATGGGGGGAGTGCAGAGTGGAGACCCAAAGCCCATTAGTAGGCCACTGGACATCCCCTTGCAGAGGGGTCTTGGGGAGGAGACAAGCAGTCAGGTTGCAATGTAGCAACGGTGAAAAATACAACTTTCCTCTAGTTCCTAAATGTTTCCTCCCCGCTCCCACTATCATGACACGATTTCTACCTTGCAAGTTTGGCTAGACCAGAGGATGTACACTGGTACAGATAGGAACTGGAAATACAGAGAATCCAGGGCGGATGATCCCTATAGGACCAGTGGTGTGAGTGGCGATACTGGGAGGGTAAAGGGAGAGTGGGTAGGAAAGAGGGAACCGATTACAAGGAACTATATGTGATCTCCTCCCTGGGGGACGGACAACAACAGAAAAGTGGGTGAAGGGAGACGTCGGACAGGGCAAGATATGACAAAATAACAATTTATAAATTATCAAGGGCTTATGAGGGAGGGGGGAGGGAGGGGAAAATTGAGGACCTAATGCCGGGGGCTTAAGTGGAGAGGAAATGTTTTGAGAATGATGAGGGCAATGAAGGTACAAATGCGCTTTACACAATTGATGTATGTATGGATTGTGATAAGAGTTGTATGAGCCCCTAATAAAATGATTAAAAAAGATGTTGCTTGAATTTAAATAAGCAACTTTGTCACAGAGAAAAGGTAAGCAAGATAATACATACGACTCGATCTTGTCACAGAATAAGGAAAAACAAACAAACACAAACCAAAAACACTGCCAATGAGTTGATTCTCACTCACAGCACCCTTACAGGACAGAGGAGAACTGGCCCTGTGGTGTCCGAGACCGTAACTCTTTACAGGTGTTAGACAGCCCCATCTTTCTCCTGGGGAGCAGCCAGAGGTTTTGAACTGCTGACTTGGAGGTTAGCAGCCCAATTCTTAACCACTACACCCCTAGAGCTGCCGTGTGAAAGAATTGGCAGAATACAAAATGTCTTGTGGCTTAAACCATAAGCAGCATTCAAGATGACTGCAGAGTAAATTCACATTCTCACTGTGACTCTTTAAAGTGTGTGTCACGTCAAGTTGGTAGTTTCTCAAAGTGGTAGAGGTGTAAGAAAATGTACATCCCATCAGGGTCAACAGTGATTGTTATAGGTCGAACCCAATTTCAGAGATGTTAATGTGTGAAAATGTCTTATTGAGCACAGTAACAGCTTTGATTGTTCATTCCTAAATAAATAGCTGTGGATCTACTGTATGTGAGTGAAGGCTGCTAAGAGATAAGGATGCAGCAGCAAAAAAGATTGCCATCATACCGAGAACTGGTTATTTTTATATAAAAAATACAGCACTGAAGACTGATCCACATACAAATTTAATTAAAATTCAAGTATAGGAAAACCATAAACAAACCCAAACACAGTTATCAGTGGCTCAAAGGTCCACATTAGATTTGGAATGAAACTGACTCACGTGCATACATATGGCAAAATCAGCAGCATCTTTTCTTTTACTACAGCGAGGATGAAGAAAGAAGCATCCAATTTTGTTTAGGTAATTAAAGACCTTACAGTTGAGCGGAGGCTTCCAATTGGTGTTTCCACCTATTATTATTGAGAAAAGGACAACCAGTCAATATGGAGAGGAAAGATCAAAAGGCTACAAGTATCTGAAAATAAAAAGGAAAAAACGCACGCACATATGAAAACTTTTTTTTTCTAGAGAATAGTAGATTAAAATGCACCGAAACTGAGTTCTAGCCAAGTGATCGCCACATTCTTGCCTTAAAACCTGGAAAGAAGACCAGCTCTCCTTCAATCTGCCTATGCATCTGAAAACTCAGAGGTGTGTTAAGCAAAATCTAAAATAATAGAAAATTAAAATCTAAAGAGTGGAAAATGCCTTGAAATGACGTTTTATATGACTGTGCATTAGGTATTTTTATAAATGTATCAAAGGCTGCTCAATGCATGGAAATGAAGGGCTCTGAGCAAAATGGGGATGACCAACTTATTCAGGTCAGGATGCTCTTTTCTGTTGAATCCTAACCCCCTTTTTTCGATGCTGCTTTTTAATCAGACATGAACTCTTATCAGATACTTAACTCTGTTGTGGTATGCCCTTGTATCAATTCTCACATAGAGGAAGGGACCCACTGTGACAAAGTAGACCTGCCCATAGTTTCCTAGCTATAATCTTTACTGGGGCAGGGCACCAGACCTTTTGCCCCTAAAGTAGCTGGCGGGCTTGAACTCCTTTCACTTCGGGTTGAGAATGTGACCCACACCAAGGCTCTTCTCACTACTCGACAACCTCTGTAAACTAAAGAAACCTCTTCTTCAGGCTCAGTCAATTGTTTTCTAATGAGATTTAAATGAAATTAAGTTAGGGAGAGCCAAACAAAGATGAAGTAGGAAGCAGCTGTGGCATGTTGAACATAACCCTAATACTTAGTCCTAAACCCAAGAGACCCAAACTTAAAAATTATTAGCTTTTTGGAAAAAGTTAACTTTTTTACTTGCTTCCTTATGCTTTAAATGAGAAAGAATCATGATAATCAGCAACTATATGTTAGTACCAAGCATAGTACCCAGCACATTGTAGGCATTAAATAAGAAAAACTTACAATCTGCACCTAGAATTACACAAACGTTGGCGCACCAAACAAAACTAACATTTATTATAGAGCAATGTAAACAAAAATATTCCAATTACATGCCTCTGTTCTTTTTAGGAAGGCCGAAGAGAGCCCCTTTAAAGTATACCTAAGATGAGAAAGGATTTGTCTTGAATGTTTTCCTTATTAACCATACCTTGAAAGCCCCAAATAAATGTTCCTTGGTTAAGGTGTCCTGGTAGATGACCAAAAAAGTTTGACCAGTTATCAAAATCTACAAAAACTATATGAGTCATGGTTCGCAGATAATCCAGATCTGGAAGCTCAACTTCTTCATCTAATAAGAGAGGAATATTAACATGCATTCAGGAAGAGTTTCTTTTAAAACATTTTAATTTCTCAAGCCTGAAAGACATCAGAAAATATACAAAAATACCAATCTTGCATGCTCTTCCTCCCTATCTAAAATCCAAACCTATTTATAACAGTCTACACCTAAAACATGTAAGGAATTCTGAATATTTCACAAACACGATTCACATAATTCCTATAAGTATGTGCACTGATCCCAGTTTTTTTTTTCTTGATCCTACTTTTTGCATTTGTGAAAGTACTACCAAAATTAAAGCAATATACTAGAAATATGTGGCTAAATAACTCAAACCGTAAGATTATCAGGGTTACCTGAAAGAAAATTTACCCTCCCAAGAATACAGCTTTTTCTAATATTGACTACTAATTATTAGTGGCTACTTGATTCTATTATTAAACACCCTAGGTAACAGAAACACAGCTTTCTGGTCTTCTAGGATTCTTCTTTCATCATTGACCACTCTCCAATGCTTATTCTCTCTCTCCTTTTCCTTATTTTCTATCTTAACAAGGTCTTTTACTTCCCAGCAGTGGTTAAATTATTTTTAGAATTGTAGTGTCTGCTCTCCTTAACAGAAACCCAGAACAAGTGAAACATACTGGCACTGTGCTGATTCCAGTTCTGTGGAATACACTATTGCCATGCCTTCCCATTGCCCAGTCTCCTAACTTCTTACATCTTTTCTTCAAGTTTTTAGGAATTCTAAATTTAGATACTGCAATCATCTGTAAAATCACAGAACCAAAAAAAACCCAAACTCACTGCCATTGAGTCCATACTGATGCACAGTGACTACAGGACAAGGTAGAACTGTAAGTGTGAGTTTTAGAGCTGTAAGCGTCTATGAGAGTAGAAAGCCCTGTCTTCCTCACATGGAGTTGCTGGTAGCTTACTTGCCAACATGTAACCACTCTGCCCCCAGGACACCCATAAAACACAGAACAAAATAAAATCCCCCAAAAGGGAACACAAATGTTGGTCTGTAGTAAGCAATTTAATTTTTTTTTCACTTAAGATACGACACAGCTAAAGGTGATGCTGAAATACCTATGTACTTCAGATCAAGCCTACACAAATCCATGAAAACATTTTGAGCTCAAATATCCTCAGTTTCCACTCTACCTTGCATAACTCAACAAGAAAATCTATTGAAAATGATATAAATTAAACATATACTATTTTAAACAAAATTAACACTGCGCCCTTCCAGAGGTACCTAATCCTATCGTAGGGAAGGAGGAAAGTCTGAGAGGGTTCCATGTTTCAAATTTTTCCGTTTTCCCCCATTTCTCTTAACTTCTAATGGATTTGTATACTAGAAACAAAAGCTTTACTTCCGTGTCAATCAAGACAAAATACAGCTCAAATTTTGAAAAAACAAACAAACAACAACAAAAAATTTGTATAACTAATTTTGAAAGGAACATAAAATACTGTAAGAAAAATATAAATGGTAATAATGCCCCTAACTTTCAACTTCCTTTATAGCTTCAAATCCCCATGCCTTCTGTAAAAGAAAATATTACCTCTAAATATTATTTAAAAACATATACTTTGTTACCCTAAATTTAGAATATCTAAATAAAGTAGAAAAGAAAATCCCTAAAAAGTATATTCAGTAGCAATCTACGTATGCATACTATCTTTTTTTTTTTTTGCTTTGAAAATGATTGGCCATTTTTATAGGTTATTTGTTATAAACACGGTGGCACACTCTGTATGTGAAATTTTCAGATATTATAGCTGTAAAGCCATACCTATATTCTGACAGCTTAGGTCATTTTCAGTTCCTTTTTCCATGTCTGAATTTTTTGGATAGCTTACTGCCTGTTTCAGCTTTCTCTCTGTTGGTGAGACACTGGCAGTAAACTTGTACACGTTTCCTTTTTCTGATCCCGAGTAAGCCACACTGGGATTCTGTAAGAAGCAATGCTTTGTGTGGAAGTGTTGCTGAGCACTCTCAGGATCGTGAAATGCCTTGGTGCAGGTGCCACACCTGATGTTATACTGCTGTTCCAGCGCATCACGCTTTTCTTCGTGTACTTGATGGACATGAGTTTTCACGTCAGCTACGTTCTGTGCCGTTGCTGAGCACAGATTGCAGCGATACCAGAGTTTACCTTTGTCCAACATGATTTGGAGGCATTTACTGTAATCTTCCTTTCTGTTCATTTTACAGATGTAACTTTCACGGCAACCACAGTTTAATTGGTTGCTGGTCTCTAGTACTGTAAAATCATTCTCGGTTTTAATTGAAGTTTCAATTTTTTCTGACACAAATACATAATCTATACTGTGTCGTTCTTGATAATGAGTCAAGAATGTGTCTTCTACATTAAAGGTAAGATCACAAAGCCCACAGAAGTATTTAATCTTTATCTCATTGTCATGCTCATCTTGACAATGTCGGGATAAGGTTTCTATCTTGTGAAAAGTCTTTTTACAATGGGCACAGCTGTACCTATGAAACTGGTGACTTGTCAAAGACAGGCAGTGCTGTTTGACGCATTCCTGGGAATCAAACATATCTTCACAAATCCGGCATTGCCATTTGCCCCTTGGAGTGCTGCTTGCTGGGGAATGATCAAGAATAGCAACGGTGGAAGGAGCCTTCTCAGCAGCTAGGTTAGTCCCCAGTATTGTAAAGGAAGATGGCAAAGTCTCACTTTGTACCTCATCCGTCTCATAAAAATATCTATGTCCATTATGAAATTCAGTCACATGTACCATGATGGTCTCTTTCCTTAACTCCTTCTTGCATGTCCGACACCAGAAAAGAAAGTTACTGAGATGTGCTCCTCCATGAAAACGACTCATGTGTAAACGGATGACACCTGGATCTTCACACACTTTCCCACAGACCATGCACTTGTAACACATTGTGTTTGCTGAGAAAACATGCTTCTCTACTGCATCTTCACTTGGGAATCGTTGATGGCATTCACAATACCAAGCTTTAATTGTTGACCTTTCTGCCTGGACACGAACCATACCTTCATGACTTTCATTTTCTAAATTCATCTTCTTTATTGGAATGGGGCAGTAATCCTGTGTGCTAGTTTCTTTAGTTGACATAGTTCTTTTGAGTGATAAAAACTTTGATTGATCTAAGAGTAAATCCAAATCTGAAAAAGATTTGTTTCTTTGATTGCTGTGGCAATAAAGTAAAACGGATTCTTCCATTGAGGTGATGATTTGGACTTTGTGTCCTAAATTCTGCTTATGATTCCAGGTACTGGCTTCATCCACAAAGACTTGGTTGCAACTTGGACAATACGCTCTTAGTATAAATTTCTCTGCCACTTGGGCAATACTCTTCTCAGCTACAGCGACAGGACCAGCATTTCGACATCGAACTCTAAATTGGATTAAAAAACAACCAAAACACAACTCATAAGTATCTTGCGAATAGAAGAACTCTGCTATTCACTATGGAAATTATAAAATAATTACTGTTCTAAACAAGGACTAACAAAATATTTTAATTAAGATATAAATAATATGACGATATGCTCTTATTTTAAAGTAGCTTAGTACCTCTAAATACAAATGAGTGAAAACTAGAGTAAAGAAGGTTAAAAATACTATCAAATGTCTTCATAGTCAAAAGGTACAAACAAGTGTTCATAAACTGGTGAATAACAAAATGTGATATATATGTACTGAAGATCCTGCCGCCATAAAAAGGATTGAAGTTCTGATATAAGATACAATACGAATGAAGCCTGAAGACATTATGCTAAGTGAAATAAATCAGATACGCAAGGTCCAGTACTGCATGATCCCATTTATATGAGGAACCTCCAAAATTAAATTCAATGGCATCAAGTCCTTTCTGACTCCTGGTGATCCTACGGAAGAACAAGTTCATAAAGTGATAAAGTAGATATGGGGCTCCAGGGGCTGGGAAAAAGCCAATGTTTTGGTTTTTAAAACTTTTTTTTTCAATGTATTGTTTAATGGGTGTAGAGTTTCTGTTTGGGATGATAACAATAGATCTGGAAATCGAAGGGATGGTTGTACAACCACCATGGGTGTATTTAAGGACATTGAATTGTATACTATAATTTTGTTACATATGTTTACCACAATTAAAAGAATATAGGCCTGGTTTCTTTTTCTTAAGAAGAAAAAGCTAATTAAAGGCAAATGCAGATAAACTCAACTTCCTGAAAATAAAAAACTATAGTGCTATAAAGTATTATCAAGAAAATGAAAAGACAGCATCCAGAATGGGAGAAAATAGCTGCCAATTAAATACCTGATGAGGGTCTGGAATCCAAAATATAAAGAAAAATCCTTACAATGAAACAACATAATTCAAATTAAAAAACAAAACAAAACGGGAAAAGGACAAGAATAAGCATTTCTCCAAAGATACATGAAAAGATGCTCAGTATCACTGCCATTGAGCCAATTCTAACTCACAGCAAGCGTACAGGGCAGAGGAAAACTGCTTTGGCCTTCTGAGACTTTAAATCTTTACCATAGCAGAGAATCAGCTTTCTCCCATGTAGCAAGTAGAGTGTTTGAACTATTAAGACTTGTGGTTCATAGCTGAACACGGAATCAGCTGCGCCATCTGAGCTACCTTTCACTGGTCATTGGGAAAATGCAAATCAAAAGCACAGTAAGATACTACTCCATGTTTCTAAATAAGGTGAGAACATAAAAGAAACAATTCTGAGGCTAGTACAGGGCCAGCCAGTGGTTTGCTCTGTTCCGTTGTGCAGCTTTGAGTCAGAGCTGACTCAAGGCACCGAACACCCCAACATAAAGAAAATAAAAGCCCTTCAGAACCAGTCCAATAAGCAGTATCCTAATAAGTGGGACAAAACACTGAGATTGCCACGGACTTCATTTTATTTGAATGCACAAAGAGTGCCCAAGAGAGTGCCCATCCACAATTCGAATACATTGAACAAATCTGCTGAGATGTCACTTTGAGGACTGAGGCATGCCTGAGAAAGCTGGACAACGAAAAAGAAAGACCAAGGAACTGATGCCTTTGCATTTGGTGTTGACAAATACAGAACGGACTGCCAGAACAACAAGCCTTTCTGTCTTGAACAAATGCTCCTTAGAAGCGAGGTTGGCGATTTCAGCTCACATACTTTGTACGTGTTATCAGAAGACACAGTCCCTGGAAAAGGACGTCGTGCTTAGCAAAGGATCAGCCAAAAAGAGAAAGACCCACATGCGACAGATTTGACACAGAGGCTACAACAAAGGTCTCAAACGTAACAGTTGTGACAGGGTTTTGCTCTACTGTACCCAGAGTCACCATGAGTTGGGACTGACTGGGCAGCACCTAACAACCACGAACACTTAAAGAAGACTCGACCCACAATAGCAAGATACCCTGTCCCTGGTGTATGCATGTGAGACCGTCATCACGCACACATCACAAGGCATAAAAAAGGCTTCAGACAATTGAAAAACTGGGAATTATACTAAACAGGATATCTCATTATAATGGTATTAAGTGAGAAATAAAAATACCTGAATATTTAAAAATTGGCTCCCTAAATGCCTAGAAATTTGACAATACATGCCTTTTCAAAATATTTTATTTCGATGTTTTTGATATAACACATACCAAATCCTACACTCATTCAACTGTTCCTATATGTACAATTCAGTGATACGGACTATAGTCTTTGTTGTCCAACCATCCTTACTTGCCTTTCCTGAGATGTAGCTGACACAACTCTAAATAACTTATGAATCAAACAAGGAGTCAAAAAGGTGTGTGTGTGTGTGTGTGTGTGTGTATTTTCAACTGAATAAAAACACAGTGCTTAAAGGGAAATTTAAAGCTTTACATAATCATAATTTTAAAAAGGTCCAAAATCAATCTACACCACCACCTTACCAAGCTAGAAATAGACAAGCAAATCAAACACACAGCTAAAAGAGCAGATAAAAATTGAAAAAAATGTGCCAGCAAAAGAGTCTTATCCATGAAACCAAACTCTGGTTGTTATGAAGATCTAGGGTTTACTCGACATAGATTATTCAAAAGACAAAATATCTTAAAAACAAAAAACCTTTTAGAAGAAAACAAAATATATTCCTGAACTGATGACAGGGAGTTTGTCAGACAGACACAGAAACCATAGCATAAATTACATTTCATGGAATTAAAAGCTTCTGCTCATGATAAATAGGTAAGCCATAGACTAGAATGCTAATAGTATATAGATCTGACAGATATACAAATGGCCTAAACACATAAAAGTGTCCAACACATCATCATTGTTCATCAAGAAAATGCCTGTTAAAAGTCAGCAGGAAATATTCATGAAAATGGCTAAAACAAAAGGACCAGCAATACCAAACTAAGAGCAGGATGTAGTGGAATTGTAGATCAGTACAGCCACTTTGGAAAAGTGTTAAACATTTTCTTCATAAAGTAAATATATACCTAATTCTTGACCTAGCAATTCAATTACTAGACTTATTCAAGAGAAACCAAAACATATCCATTAAAAAAAGTATATAAAGGCAAAAAAGCAGCCATCTAGCTCAAAAGCAACAAAGCCCACATGGAAGAACACACAAGCCTATGTGATCACGAGGTGCCGAAGGGATCTGTGATCAGGGATCAAAGAACAAAAAAATCATATCACTGTGTGCTCACCTCCATGATACGATCGCTGAAGACAAATGGGTGCCTAAGCAAATGTGGTGAAGAAAGCTGATGGTGCCCGGCTATCAGTAGGTATAGCGTCTGGGGTCTTAAAGGCTTGAAGGTAAACAAGTGGCCATCTAGCTCAGAAGCAACAAAGCCCACATGGAAGAAGCACACCAGCCTGTGCGATCACGAGGTATCGAAGGGATCCGTTATCAGGGATCATCAGAACAAAAAAAATCATATCATAGTGAACGGGGGGAGGAGGGGTGCGGAGTGGAGACCCAAAACCCATTTGTAGGAACTGGACATCTCCTTACAGAAGGGTCTCAGGGATGAGGCGAGGCAGTCAGGGTGCGATATAGCAACGATGAAACATAGAACTTTCCTCTAGTTCCTGAATGTTTCCTCCTCCCCCACTATCATGATCCCAATTCTACCTTACAAATCTGGCTAGACCAGAGGATGTTCACTGGTACAGATAGGAAATGGAAATCCAGGGAATCCAGGGCGGATAATCCCTTCAGGACCAGTGGTGTGAGTGGTGATACTGGAAGGGTAGAGGGAAAGGGGGAACCGATTACAAGGATCTACATTTGACTTCCTCCCTGGGGGTCGGACAACAGAAAAGTGGGTGAAGGGAGACGTCGAACAGGGCAAGATATGACAAAATAATAATTTATAAATTATCAAGGGTTAATGAGGGAAGGAGGAACGGGGAGGGATGGGTAAAAATGAGGAGCTGATGCCAGGGGCTTAGGTGGAAAGCAAATGTTTTGAGAATGATGAGGGCAATGAATGTACAAATGTACTATACACAACTGATGTATGTGTGGATTGTAATAAGTTGTATGAGCCCTTAATAAAATGATTAAAAAAATAGTATATAAAATGTTATAGTTGGAGGGAGGGGAAAAATGAGGACCTAATGTCGGGGGTTTAAATGGAGAGAAAATGTTTTGAGAAATGATGTACAAGTACGCTTTACACAATTGATGTGTGTATGGATTGGGATAACAGTTGTATGAGCCCCTAATAAAATGTTTAAAAAAAAAAAAAAAAGAAACATCAGTGAACAAAACAAAACAAAAAAAAAATGTTATAGTTGTTTTACTCATAATTGCAAAAACAGTATAAATAACCTAAATGCCCATCAATATTAACACAGTTTAACAAATTGTGCTATAGTTATACAATAGAATACTACACACAAAAAGAAACAACATACTTACTATGTGCAATAGGGTTGTATCTTCAGATATGCACAAAACTAAAGAGTAAATATGAGTATTACCATTAATATAAAGCAGGTAAAAAATCAGAATATTCTCTCAAGTGAGATGGAAAATTACTGGGAAAAGACACAAGGGAACTTTCAACAGAAATATATTCCATATTGTAGTAAGAGTGTGTTAAACATCACATATTTTTCGTTACTTTTCCCCATGTTGCTCATGTTGTTGTTGTGCTGCCTTAAAAATAGGGATTCTGTTCAAATTTGTATGCAATTTTAAAATGCCAACAATTTTAGACAGCTCACCAAAGAGTTGACAAGCATATATGAAAATATTCAATGTTATTTAGTCACTAAAAACAAACTGTTTGGGGGGTGTCAATTCAGATTCATAGTTACTATATAGGATAAAGCAGGTAAAACTGCTGCCCAGAGGGTTTCTAAGGCCATAAATCTTAAAGGCCACAGACTGCCACATCTTTCTCTCTCGGAGTGAAAGATAGAATTGCTGGCCTTTTGGTTGGCAGCTAAATGCTTAATTGCTGTACCATCATTGCTCTTATCCATTACTAAATCCAAACCCAAACCAAACCCCAAACTCAACTGCCACCCAGTCAATCCCGACTCAGAGAGAACCTGCCTTCTCTGGGTTTCTGAGATTCTGACTAGTTACAATAGAAAGCTTTGTCTTTCTCTAATGGAGTGGCTGGTGGTTTTCAACTGCTGCCCTTTTGGATTGCAGACCAATGCACAACCACCAAGGGAGGCCAGGATGGAAAGGTGAACGTGTTTGAGGAACATTTGAGTTGACATTAACGGTAATGGAATCATTTGGGAAAGGATAACAATGGTGGCCTATTATGAATAAATAACGTAATTGGTGTTACTGAACTGTGTTACTGTAAATGTGGAAGTTCTGTAGATAAATGTTCTCAATACACACACACACACACACACACACACACACACACACACACACACACACACACTCTCTCTCTCTCTCTCTCTCTTCAACAATTTTATTTCAGTAGTGTTGAAACCCAGGTACTATCTGACATCATACACCAGTGCAATAGTTTAGAAGCCAGAAATGAGTGCAATCTTTGCAATTTTAAAAGATTACAAAAACTTTAACTTTGTGAGAGCGGTGGAACAGACTGTTGAAGGAGTTTTGTAGAAATTTAAACATTATTGTGAAAAACGGAAGCAATGAAAGATAAAGCAGTAACAACTGAGAAAAGAGTTTCTGGGGAGGGTGGGGCGTCACTATATTACTCTGTTTACATTATCATAGATAGTTGAAATTTCCTGCAATAAATAATAAAAATAACAGACAAAATCTTGATGTAGAAATATAAACCAGAAATGTAACATGCAACCTCAGTTTTAACAAGAACATATTTTACTCACGTGTGTAAAAACAATTTTTCTATTTAATCAAAAAGAACTGTGCCATTTAATAGAAATATAAATAGAAATATAAATGTATAATGCATTTTAAAGAAATAAACAAAAAAGAGTGAGAGAGATTAATCTAAGAGACATAGCACAGAAATGCTAAGTGTTGACTTTGGTTGGATTGTAATACCAAAAAACACTTCATTTGAAATCAGAAATCTGATAACTGACCAGATATATATTAAGAAACTACTCATGTATAAAGTGTGCTAATGGCACTAAGAGGAACCCTGCTAGGAGCAATGATTTAGTGCTCAGCAGCCTAACTGAAAGGTAGATGATCTGACTCCATCTAGGAGCCCTAGTGGCACAGTGGTTACAAGTTGCAGTGTAATCCACAAGGTCAACAGTTTGAAGCCTCCAACAGCTCCTTCGGAAACAAACTGGACTTCTGACTCCTGTAATGCCCAATCTCAGAAACTCACAGGAGCAATTCTACCCTGTCCTATGCAGAGTTGCTATGGGTCAGCATTAACTCAGTGGCATTGAGTTTCAGTTTGAGCAGCTCCATAGAATGAGTCAACAGAAAAAAGGAAAACTTTCAACAAGACGGATTGACACACTGGTTTCAACAACAGGCTAAAACTAAACAACAATTGTGAGGATGGTGCAGGCCAGGGCAGCATGTCACTGTGTTTTACGTAAGGTCACTAGGAGTCGGAACTGACCTGATGGCACCTAACAAGTAATGGCTCCATGGGGAAAAGACCTGGTGATCTACTTCTGAAAATATTACAGCCAAGAAAAGTTTATGGGGGCAGTTCTACTCTATCACAGAGAGTTGTTATGAATTGAAATCAACAATATCCTACATCATATTGCTTGATATTTCTTTCCATCTAAAGACAAAAGCCAGCTTATCCTGGAATCTTGATCACTTGATACATTTGGCCTTTCAATAAGGCTTAATCTTTCTCAAGTAAGATAAGTTCCTTTAAAAAAATCATTTTATTGGGGACTTGTACAACTTTCCATACAAGATAAATTCCGTTTGGTTGATTAAAAACTGTCATTGAGTCAGTTCGGACTTATTGCAACTCTGGTTCATGTAAAGCCCAGGTTCTAGTTTAACCTCTTCCCCTATACACTTACATACAAACGCACACAGATTTTGGAACTTAATTTGTCTTATTGTGGGAAACCAAGAACTGGGAAGAAAGAGTATGCAGACAAATTGTCTACACTCATATTTAAGTCTGGGAGGCAGATTCTCATGGAGGAAGACCTTCACGCTTATGAACTGGAGATGCATCCCGGTCACATTCTCCTAGGTAAAAGCTGTTCCTCACAATGTTCCCGGTAATAATGCCATTTTAAGATGCTTCTTGGAAGCACATGGTTGCTACTATACGTTTCAAGTCTATCTGCCTGAAGGTTGTCTGCCATCAAGAACATTCAGACCACCCCATCCTAAGTACAGCCCACTCCCTTCTGATATGGATCCCAGATTATTCCCCTGGAGCTGAGGTCAAGCCAGCTCAGAGACAACCAATGTTAAGCCACCATATTTCCTTAGAACCCGCTCACCTTGTTACGTATGTGCCTCGCTATTATTACATGTATGTCCCTAGTACTCTCCTTCCTGTTTATTTTTTTAAATACTTTTATTGGGGGCTCTTACATCTCTTATCACAATCCATACATTCATCCAGTGTGTCAAGCACATTTGCACATATGCTGCCATCATCATTTTCAAAGCATTCTCTTCCCACCCCTTTCTGTTTTATGTATACCACTAACACGTGCCCTTCCTATATTACGTGTATGCCTCTAACACATCCCCTTCCTGATACGTATGTGTCACGTGCCTGAGATTATATAAACCTAAGAATATACATTCACTCTCTCTCTTGATCCTGCCATTGGAAGAAGTGCATCCTTGCATGCCTTGTCTAATGTTTCTTTAATTTACTGTTCAATTACATAATCGCCCTTTGGACTTACTCGGTTGTGGAGGCTGGTCCCCCACATTTTATGTTGTGGAGGTTTATAGATCTACACATGTAGATGTTTATAGATATATATATCTATATATATACTTTTTTGGTACCAATAGGAGTAAAACATAAAATAGAATGCTGAATCATTTGTTGGTGAACATTCCATTACAACTCCCTTGCATCAAAAAGAATGAGAATGTTGTTGTACAGTGAAAATGTAACCATGTCATTGAAAAATGTCCACAGAAATGGTTCAATGAGAACCTAAACTGCTGTGTAAACCTTCGCTGAAAATACAGTATTAATTTTAAGAAAGAGAGAGAGAGAGAATTCCTTATAGCCCAAGACTAGACCCATACAAACCTGAAATGGGCAGAAAGCTCCAGGTGGGAACGCAGTGTCTGGTGACAGGCCACACATTTGACTTGAAATGGAACATCTTTGCAGAGACTGATCAAAAGTTTCTTTGCAAAAGATGGAAATGATATTGGCTGTGCTATTCCCTTGACATCTGCAAAACAGAAGCCACTGACTTACAAGGCTCGATGAATAAACGGCAACTCCCAGCCTTCCTCCCATGCCTTTTTCAACATCGATTGATGTAAAGCAGATATTTATTTGAAAGATTAAAATCTATAAGAAGGCATTTTTTATCCTGATTGCAAAAGATGCTGAATTCACTGCTTTATTAAAATTTGAGTCACAAGTCTACAGAAACACCAACTTCCCAGATATCATGGATATACAAACATTTTCCTGAATAAATGTTTTCTTCCTCTTTCTTTTCACTCCTCATAGTACAACTTATTTTTAGTTATTGAAAGATACTACGTCTCTTAAAAATAAAATGGGCATATAATGTTTCATTGTTATGGTTCTCAGAATAACAAGGGAAACCAAAAAATAATTTAAAAATATGATAAATCAGCAAAAATCATTAATTTTCAAAGAGAGTATTAACATACCACCCAGTTTAAAACTTTGAAGGAAATGATTGTTCCCAGACATGTGCTTCAAACATTCATCTTTGCTGCTAAAAAGAAGGAAGCAATTTGGACACGCAAAACACTGAATAATCTGAGGAAGGAGGTTGTTCGTATGTCCATCATTTGTAGCTTCCTACAATATAAGGGAAAGCTGTATTATAGACAAGAACCAAGTTTCAATGCTTAAAATCAATTTTCAAACACTGCTATTGACTGTCTACTTTAAATATTCCATGTCAAATTTAATTTTATTTTGTTAAAAGTACAGACCAACTCAACATTTCCTGTATTAACAATTCAGCGAAAGTGATTACACCCTTCAAGTGGCGCAGCCATTCTCAACCTCCTTTTCTGCGTAGCTGTTCTCCCATTAACAGAAACTCATTACCACCTAAGTCATATCACCATGGGAACTTTTGTCCCCTTGAGTGTGAATTGTGAAATTCTTTATAACTGAGGTTATTTATATTACATTTGAGATTTTTTTTCATGCCAAAACAAATTAGGACCATTGTTCTGTGACAATAAATGTAGAAGCCTCGCTTTTATGTACTTTTCATTTTTTACATACAAACTTTTATGTTCTATATCAATGTACTCATGTAATCACATTATACATGCTTTTTCTATTATTTTGCTTTGTTACCTTTATGCTGCAAAAAGGCCAGTGTTGACAAAACTAAGCATTCTTCCACACAGATTTGTTCAGACTTAATCATTAAAAAAATATATAGCTATAAGTAGAGAAGCACTGTCAATGTTTTATCAAATACTGTGATTTTGTAGACTTCTCTGCCTCTTAGGTTTCCTATTCCATAATACCTAATGGCAATTCTTAAAAATCAGCTCTAATTTATCCTTCTTAATGGTTGTGGGTACTATAATTTAAATAAGCATTCATTTCCCAATTGTATTATCAATATAAACAAAGATGATATAATCATCCTTGGCTATATAACTCTTACCTATAGTTGCTTTTCTCTCATTATCAGGAATGGCCTTGTTGGGTTCAAAGAGATACATATTGAATGTTCAAAGAAATAATATTACTGTTCAAAGACTTTAATAATTCATATCTTCCCATATGACAAAATAACAATTTATAAACTATCAAGGGCTCATGAGGGAGGGGGGAAGGGGGAGGGAGGGGAAAAATGAGGACCTAATGTCTGGGGTTTAAGTGGAGAGAAAATGTTTTGAGAATGATGTACAAATGCGCTTTACACAATTGATGTGTGTATGGATTGTGATAAGAGTTGTATGAGCCCCTAATAAAATGATTAAAAGAAAAAAAAATCATATCTTCCCTAACAAAGAATAAGCCTGGTAGCAATATGGGTCTTTTAAACTCTTGCCAAGTGAACTAACTTTGTAATACTCATGGTTACTTTAAGGAGCACTTCCCTGTCTCCTTGAGAGCTTAAGCATTTATACCATGGCTCACTGTAGTTTCCTAATAACATTTCCACACAGTCGAATGCCTTTGCACAGTCAATGAAAACACAACTAAATATTTTTCAGGGATTCTCTGCTTTGAGCCAAGATCCATCTGACATCATCAATGATACCCCTTTTCCACCTTCTCTTCTCAATCTGGCCTGAACCTCTGGTAGTTCCTGTCAATGTACTGCTGCAACCATTGTTGGACGATCTTAAGCAAAATTTTACTTACATGCGATATCAATGATACTTATTCTATAGTTCCAGCATTTGTTGTGTCAGTTTTCTTTGGAATAGGCACAAATATGAATCTCTCTCAGTCAGTTGGCCAAGTAGCTGTCTTTTAAATTTCCTAGCATAGAAGAGTGAGTGTTTCCAGTGCTTCAGCTTTCTGAAGCATTTCAATGGGTATTCTGTTAATTCCTGGAGTCTTGATTTATTATTCTTTAAATTCTTTTTCAATTTTTAAAATTTTTGGAGCCTTTATTTTTGGCTAGTGCATTCAGTGCAGTTTGAATTTTCTTTTAGCAGCACCATTGGTTATTGCTCATATGCTACCTCCTGAAATGATGGAATGTCAAATAGTTCTTTATGGTACAGTGACTGTGTATTCTTTCAATTTTCTCAATGCTTCCTGCATCATTCAATATTCTGCCTACAGAATCTTTCAAAATTCCAACTTGAGGCTTGGATTTTTTTCTTGGGTTCTTTGTTTTAGATATGCTGAACGTGTTCTTCCCTTGTTTTTTTAATTCTAGGTCCTTGTACATTTTGTTATATTTGGCTCTGTCTTTTTCTTGAGCTGCTCCTTGAAATTTTCTATTCAGCTCCTTGATTTCATCCTTTCTTCCATTTGTTTTAGCAACTCTACGCTGAAGAGCAAGTTTCAGAGTCCCTTCTGACCTCCACTCTTTCCTATCTTTTCGATGACCTTTGGACTTCTTCCTAAATGAGGGCCGTAATGTCCTACAACAGCTCATCAGATCTTATTAGTTTCAAAATGTCAAATCTCTTGAGATGTTTTCAAAATCAGGTGGGATAAACTCCAGCTTGTATTTTGGCTCATGTGAACTTGCTTTAGTTTTCTTCACCTTTATCTTGAATTTATAGATGAGCAATTAATAGCCTGTTCCACAGTCGACCCCTGGTCTCGTTTTACCTGCTGATATTGAGCTTCTTCGTCTGTTCTTCCACAGATGTAGTCAACTTGATTTTCCGTGTGCTCCATTGAGGGACATCCATGTCTATTCCCTTTTGTGTTGAAAAAAGGCATTTGTTATGAACAAGTTGTTGGTTTGACAAAACTCGATCATGTGATCTCTAACTTCATTTCTATCACTGAGTCCACATTCCCAACTACTGTTCGTTTCTAGCGTTTACATTCTAATCACCAATAACTATCAATGTGTCTTAATTGCATGCTTGATTAATTTCCAACTGAAGTCACTGGTAGAATTCTTCAATTTCTTCATCACTAGCTTTTGTGATTGATGGATAAATTTGAGTAACAGCTACATTAATTGGGTTTCCTTGAAGGCTGATAGATATAATCCTATGACAAACAGTGCCGTACTTAATGATGGATTTAACATGATCCTTTCTGACAAGGGAAGTCATGCCATTCCTTTGTATTGTGTTATTCTTAACATAGAAGTCATGATTTTTTATTGAAAATGGCCAATACTAGCCCATTTCAATTCACTAATGCCCAGGATATGGATCTTCATGCGTTCCACTTCATTTCTGACCACTTCCAATTTTCCTAAATTCATACTTCTTACAATAGAAGATTTTTGCACCGATTTTTTTATTTTGAGTTGTGCCCTATCAGCAAATAAGGAAAGGCTTCTCTCCCAGGCTTTACCTGACATATGTCACCATGGTTGACTCCCCTCCAAGCAATCATCTCTCTTCAGTCACATTTCGAGTGCCCTCGGACCTGGGAGGCCCATCCTCCAGCCGTATTTCAACAATGTTCTGTTTCCTTTGCTTATTTAGGCTTTCAGTAGTCGATAATACTTGGAAACTATGCAGAAGGTTTTCAGTGGCTTCTTCCTTGGAAGTGGGGAACTGAGTCTTTCTTCATTGTCTGTTCTCACTCTGGAAGCTCTCTGCTGAAGCTTGTTGCTTTGGGTGACCCTTCTGGCATTTGAAATACAAGTGCACATAGTTTCCTGTATCAGAGCAACACACAAGGCACCACAGTATGACACACTTCCACAAGTGGTGGAAGTTAAATATATGACTCAGTAATCTCACTTCAGGATACATACCTTAAAAACTGAAATTATAAAAAATATGTCCATAGTTTTATGTTTAGAGCATTTGTATAGAAAAAGCAGAAATCATGTAAATATTCATCAACCTTCTATAAACAAAATGTGATATAGCCATAAAAAATATTACTTGATCCATTAAAAAGTATTACTTGAGCCATGAAAAAATGAAGTACTGATACATGATTACATACATGATAGGACGCAAGTGACTTTCAGAAACATTAAGCTCATAAAAGAATCCAGGGACAAAAGACCACTTAAAATATGATTTCATTTATGCAAAATGTCCAAAATACAGAAATCTTCAGAGACAGAAAGATGAGTGCATAGGAAGAGTAGAAGATGGCAAGGATGACAGATAAGTTGTGCAAGATTTCTTTAATTTTCAGGATAAATAACCACCAATGTACAAGGATAGCAGTGAGTTGGAGCAAGGGGTAGGAAGAAATCACACTGGATACCGGAATCCTGGGAACAGAATGAGAAAGAGTTGATACCCATTGACCTACTAGTGGGCAGGCAAGCACTTGATCTTACAGTAACCCTGGCTCCGCAGGAAGCTATCTGGTGGTATAGTACCCACAATATCCTTAATGTTAGAAGATGCAAGAAACGTGTTGCTTTTGGTGTGGTCCCAGGATCAGGTGTATTGCCACCATCTAAGGCGCTTGTTAGAAATCCTTGTTTTAAGGCTCCATCCAGATCTATTGAACCAAATTCTGCATTTTCACAAGATTTCCAGGTGATTTATTTATACATTAAAGTTTGAGAAAGAATAATTTAAAGGAAAGACCATACAGAGCAGTGATTTTCAACCCCCTTTGGGGGTCGAATGACCCTTTCACAGGGGTCGCCAGATTCATAACAGTAGCAAAATTACAGTTACAAGTAGCAACGAAAATAATTTTATGATTGGGGGGGGGGGGTCACCACAACATGAGGAATTGTATGAAAGGGTTGCAGCATTAGGAAGGTTGAGAACCACTGTTATAGAGGAAAATAAAAGGGGGAAGAAGTAAAATAATTAAAGTTATAAATAATTTCTCCCTCATTCCAAAGCAGAATGGATACGTATGAAAAGCAATGAGGATTACATTCTTCTGAGCAACCCCTCTAGATGATGAAGCCAGATAAGTGCAATTAAACGTATACATGTCCTTTCCTTTAGTGTCTCCAAGAATCACTGCAAGAATAAGCAATATAGAGTACTTTTGAGGGCTTTAGGCTAGTACATACATATTTTATGTAATACTGCATGATTCCCATAAAACAAGAAAATGGGCAAATTAAGTGAAAACTTGGGAAAATATAAATGAGACTAATTAATGCTAAGTTTAAACTATCTCATCCTAACTTACTAAAAAGAAAGCAAAAGAAGTAAATATAATTACAACAGAGAAAACACCTAGTACACGAAATAGGGAAAAGTTCGCCTTCTGAAAGAATTCCAATTTAAGAAAAAAGGGAGAATATAAGTAATCCACCAAAACCCCAAGCTCACTGCCATCGCGTCGATGCTGACTGATAGCGACCCTTACAGGGCGGGTAGAACTGTCCCTGTGAGCTTCTGAGATGGTAACTGGGTGTGGTAGTAGAAAGCCCTGTCTCTCCTTCGAAGCGGAGGGGGGTTTCAAAACACCGATCTTTTGGATCACACTAAACGTGCAAACACTGCGCCAGCAGGGCTCCTGCAGTACTGCACCACAAACACGACATTATGAAATGTACTCTCCTCGCCTCAAACCTCCACAACACAAAACTCAACATTTCTTTGTTCAACAAATCTGCATTCTGAATGACATTACCTAAGTCATATTGTTTTCTCGCCTCAAAGTTAATTACTGAATAAATCACCTAAACTGGTCTCCTTAGTCCAAGGCTTTTGTTTTTTAAAATCTAATTGAAAAATCACTGCCACTATTAAACAACACCACTAATCTCTTTGGTGTCCCTAAAAATGAGGACAGAATTGGGTTATAGACTAAGAGGTCTTCCAGCGCACCTGTTTAAAGCATTATGTTTATCATGTTCCCATCCCACTCTTTAAGAGTTCCGTACTGCCAACTCAAGTTTAAAACCCTGTGACTTTATATTCAGGTTGCTACCTATATCCGGAGTTCCCACCACCCTCAGGTTCAATTCATGAGAAGAACTTACAGTACTCAGCATACAGTTGTACTCATAGTTCTGATTACAGTTAAAGTATGCAAGGTAAAAATAACAAAACCAATTACTATCCAATGGATTCCAGCTCAAGAAAATTCTAAGTGAGTCAGAGGACTGTTGTGCTCCACATGGTTTGGTTTTTTTTTAAATCATTTTATTGGTGGCTCATTCAACTCTTATCACAATCCATACATATATCAATTGTGTCAAGCATATTTGTACATTCGTTGCCCTCATCATTCTCAAAATACTTGCTCTCCACTTAAGCCCTTGCTATCAGCTCCTTATCCCCCCCCCTGCATCCCCCACCCTCATGAACCCTTGATAATTTATAAATTATTATTTTCTCATGTCTTACACTGTCCGACGTCTCCCTTCATCCACTTTTCTATTTTCCGTCCCCCAGGGAAGGGGTTATATGTAGATCATTGTGATCGGTTCCCCTTTCTCCCCACCTTCCCTCCACCCTCCAGTATCACCACTCTCATAACTGGTCCTGAAGGGATCATCTATCTATACTGTGTTTCCAAGTCTTATCTCTACCAGTGTACATCCTCGGGTCTAGCCAAATTTGTAAGGTAGAATTGGGATCATGATAGTTGGGGAAAGGAAGTATTTAAGAATTAGAGGAAAGCTGTATGTTTCATTGTTGCTACACTACACCCTGACTGGCTCATCTCCTCCCTGTGGCCCTTCTGTAAGGGGGTGTCCAGTTACCTACAGATGGGCTTTGGGTCTCCACTCTGCACTCCCCCTCATTTACAGTGATATGATTTTTGTTCTTTGATGCCTGATACCTGATCCCTTCTGACACCTCAGGGTCACACAGGCTGGTGTGCTTCATCCATGTGGACTTTGTTGCTTCTGAGCTAGAGGGCTGCTTGTTTGCCTTCAAGCCTTTAAGACCCCAGACACTGTATCTTTTGATAGCCAGGCATCATCAGCTTTCTGTACCACATTTGCTTATGCACCCATTTGTCTTCAGTGATCATATTGGGAAGGTGAGCACACAATGATATGAATTTTTTGTTCTTTGATGCCGGATACCTGGTCCCTTCGACACCTCATGGTCACACAGGCTGGTGTGCTTCTTCCATGTGGACTTTGCTGCTTCTGAGATAGAGGGCCGCTTGTTTATCTTCAAGCCTTTAAAACCCCAGATGCTATCTCTTTGGATAGCTGGGCACCATCAGCTTTCTTCACATTTGCTTACGCACACATTTGTCTTCAATGTTGAGAAGGTGTGCATCATGAAATGCCAATTTAATAAAACAAAGTGTCCTTGCACTGATTAAGTACTGAGTGGAGGTCCAATGTCCATCTGCTGCATTAATACTAAACCTATAAATATATACACATAGATATATTTCCCCATCATCCTAGAGAAAACAACGGGACTAATGGCTCTGGGGTGACATGGGAGAGGGGGAGGTGGGGGAAAGGATGTGGTGTTGACCAACCCAGGGACAAGGGAACAACAAAGGATCCAAAATTAGTGGCAAGGAGGGTGTGAGAGGCTTGGTAAGGATTGATCAAGGGCAATGTAACCACAAGAAATTACTGAAACCCAAATGAAGGCTGAGCATGATAGTGGAACAAGAAGAAAGTAAAAGGAAATAGGAAAAAACCTAGCAGGCAAAGGGCAATTATAGACGTCTAAATACAGGCTCCTCATGGTTTTTCATGTTTAATTTTTTCAAAGTAGATCATCAGATCTGACTGAAGACCTTTCAATTAATAGCCAAATACACCAACAATTTGTACCACTCAAACACTGAAATCAGAAAAGAAAAAAAGACATATGGAGTGAAGTCCAGAGTAAACCAGCACAAGCTTCCAAGGGTCCTGCCCCAGTGGAGTCACACAGAATGTACTTAATTCCTTTATTACTACACTGTGACAACATATGTCAAATGTTGTCTACCAGGAAGCTTATGACCAAATGCCCAGGATTTGTACTGGGGGCTGGTCAGGGAGTCAGTCGCTACCTAGCATTTACCAAAAGTCCATACTTTACAAACAAAGAAAATATTTAGCCCATACTGCCTTGTTTGCATAAACGGTTTAGGCCCATGAACCAATCATATCAGAGACTAATGAGGATGCTAGCCAACCCTGCAAACAGACCTAACATTTCAGATTTACTATTATTAACTATGCAAACATCTTTCTAATATTCCCAGGCTTATTATGCTGTTACCAAGTCACTTCTTCATGCTGCCCATTTCCATATTTACTCTTATGCCTACACTCTTCAAATTTAGGTAGAATTCTACCACTTTTTCCTTTCACTGAAGTCTCTCTAATCCTTGAGGATCTTCTCTTCCAGAATACTTTTCTGTGTTTTGCAGCCTATATTCCTCTTTCTCTGAACTCCTGCATCAATGTAAGACTACGACAACTTAATATACTATAGACAATATACTACAGAGCCTAATCAGTGTTAAAAAATAATACAGGCTTTCAAAACCTGAGACTGAGTGCATAACAAAACTGCTTCAGAGATAAACATCTATTCTTAAGGGACTGTAGACTCAATAAGATGCATTTGAGAACAAGATTTAATTCTCTACTGTGAATCTATACATAATAAAGTGTAGTTCTAGAAAAAAGATTCTGAAAACAATTAAAAACAACAAACCCTACCAATCTCTGGGCATTAGCATTTTATGATTTCAAATTTCATATTCATTTCACAAACATACTAAGTATAGATCTTCCCAATAGCTTTTCATATTAAAAAATCAGTTATGTGATGTGTTATTGTTTTAAATAAGGCCGTCTAGATAACTTAATATTATCTAACAGGAATTTAGTTAAACAATGTGTAATATATTCATTTAATAGAATAATAATTACTGAATTAAAATATAGAAATCAGTAATATATAGATTCAACAAACATCTGTTGGTGATACTTTTTTTAAAATCATAAAATAGTTTAGAGACCTCATTTTATGTAAAAATATCTATTTTTAAAAATTGCAGAAACGTGTATCAAAATGTTGATAGTGGTTGCCTCTCTGCAAGAGTTGGATGATTTATTTTAAGCCTTTCTGCAACAAACACTTAATATATTTGCAATGCTAATAAGGTATTAATGATAGAGTATAATATTTTGTAAAAACCCATTACACAGTTCCATTATTAGATGGATGAGCTTACACCACTGCATCAATTCATGTCTTTTGAAATGTAATACTCAGTGAGAATTATATAGCACAGTCATTTAAATTATTTCTATGTATTTGGTATAAAATAGTTGTTAATTTACTATATTGCTCCAACATTTCACCATGCAGTACATTTTTGAGTAGTGTTTTAGGTCTTTTTATCGGATTAACTTACAGATGATTTTAAACAAGGATTTCATAGAGCAACTCCATAAAATAAAAGAATCCAAAAATAATCTCTAGGGCTACTATTTTTTCGCTATCAAGCTGCCCTCTAATTTAATGCTCTAAATAATTTTACTTTCAGTACACAACTAAAATTTTTACTATTTGTGTACAATATTGTTCACTGCAAGCATAACAGCAGCAAGAAACATTCAATGCATTCCATGACTCTCTAGAAAAAGAATTCTTTTAACTTATGATACAGTCTTACCTTAGCAAAAAGGTGATCTCTATATTGCTGTTGAGTAACAAATTTTTTGTAACACACTACACAAGCAAAGGAATTGATGATAGGGCCACGTAGTGTGATTGTTGGATCACATGGTGAGTGATCAAACCTAATTGGCAAGAGAGATAACATTAGAAAAGCCTACTTCCTAAGGGCAGAACTATTGTCTTTGTTTATTAAGACTAAACACATATGCTCCCGTTCAGAACTTCATACTTCTCTACTGAAATAATGTACATCTTTAAGAAATATGAAGTGGCTCTTATGCCAGGCAACCATTTTAATGAACTCATATTAAGATTTAAGAGACACAACTATACATATAAATGGCTTTTGATCCTTTTAATGCTTATTTTAACCATTTAACTAAATTCTGCCTTGAAAACTTTAAGTAGTTAAAATACATCATGGTACCCACTTACTAATACTACACACTACAATATCCTCTAGAGGTTTCTCTCAATATGGTACAGTATACAAAAATCACTACTGTTACTGCAATTGTCAATTCCACCTTATGGCAACTCAAAAGAAATATAACGGGAATAAATTAATAGCACACAGATCTATATGTGTCAAAGTAAATTGTGTTCCACATAACTTTTAATGGCTGATTTTCAGAAGTAGATGGCTACGTTTGTTTTTCAAGGTGCCTGTAGATGGACCCAAACCTTGACTTTTCAGTGAGCATCTGAGCATGCCAAATGTTTGCACCACGCAGGAATCAAGTAGGGTAAGACATTCTCCAACTTCTCAGTTTTCCATAGTTAAACTATTAAACAAAACTGGGGTAACTATGAAAATAATGAAGTTTAATGGTTTCTCTTCTACTTTCTCAACCTATAATTCAAAAACAAACTCACTTGTGACCCTGCGGGTTCCCCAAACTGCAATTCTTCACATAGATAAGCACTACACCACCAAGGTTACTCGGTCAACCTCTACTATTTAAAAATTCAAAAATATTACATAATGGATTTGATAAACAATACATTTTCAAGTTAATTATGTGACATTCATCCTGCTTTTAGCATTTAACTTTCAGTGCCACATTTTATTCTTTAGGTTGACCAAATATCTTTAAGTGTTTGGTGTCACTTGAAAGTGACATTTATGAATTGGATTTCTCTAAAACTGATAAATATTTATCAATGTAAGAAGTCTGTTCAAAACTGTATGAAGACACATTAGGAAAAATGCACACTGAACATCTATAAAGACGATAGGATATAACAAGAAAAATTTCACTTCAACACTTTAAAAAATGTAAGAATTTTAAGTTGGGAGGGAAAAGATAAGTTGGGAATAATTTAATAGCACAGAGCTACCTGAATTGGGAATTTGAAGTTATAATCACAATCATGCTTTCATTGTACAAAATCACTTCCCAATTATTTCATTTGATCTTCAACATCCACTCTTCCGAAGGTCATACTTACCTTTTCAAATGTCCCAAGAGAAGGTGTCCATTATCAAACTGCTTGTTGCAGTGCATTATGGGGCATAAAATAGGTTTCACAGACACCTGAATTTGACCTCCTCTTCGGAATGAACTTTTCGCTCCAGAATGAACCGTGCCTGTTTTGAGTCCTGCAGCAGAATATAAATTCTTAAGTTCCTACTTCAGATACTTGTCCTCTGGGCTGGGAGCCAAAAGAATATCTATTAAGATATAACATCAAATAGATGTTCCTAATTGTCTACGAAGTGCTTATAAACCTCTCCTATAATGACATAACCTAAAGGTATATAATGTTATTTGGAACACATAAAGTTGTTAGCATGTCTAAGTAATATTTCTTTAGGGGGAAAAATCCATTTCCTTAAATTTGAGTATCAAGAAATATTAAAAATCAAATGCCTTAGGAATTCAGTTATTCTACAAAAGCTTCTACTCTCCTCCTTTCTTTTATATGTATTGGCAGTTATTTTCTTCCCTCACTTTCCCTTTTAATTATGTTAAATAAAGGGTTAGTATTGTGGGAAACTGACACTGCGGGAAATACGATTGGGACTTATTCCCTGACTTGTGCAGAGGGAATCTGGAAAGCTAGTACTCCACGGTAGGAAAGCCACCACTTTGGTGAGTTAGAGATGTAGTTCAAGTACATTTTCCTGCGTTAACTATCATTTCCAGTTTCTCCCCCTTAAAGCTATGCTGCCTTAAAGTGAGCACATGGTTCATTCTGTCTACCTACAGAGGCAGACATTCTTATTTGCTCTATCTCTTCCCGCCACGGCATCCAACACCTCTCATTCCTTCCCCCAATAGCAGATGGGCATAGAGGAACTTTATCCCCCCGGGCCTGGATCCAACATGTTTGCCATAAGACTGAATTTTTTGGCTTGGCTATATTAATACTGTCTTTAAATTTGCCAAGACAGCTTTCAATGTATAGAAAATAATCATGTTGCCCCTGTAGCTCTTTTGAATTTAATTATATAAAACAAAAGGGGATTTGAAGGATATAAAAAGGCTTTTTCCCAGCTTTTCCCCTCCAAATATATGTCAAGATGTGGGACACTGCTTGTAATGGTAAATGATTGTCAAGTTATCTCCCTGAACACATCAGCCATCCAGAGCAAGCAGATTACTGTCTGGCCCACCACAGGAAGGGGTCACTCCCTGCTGGTAAGGACTGTGGATTGCATTCCCTGAAAGGCTCAGAATAAATCAAACCACCAGCTCAAGAGTGATCAAGGTTAGGCTGCCATCACGAATCTAGGATGCATCTTGTCACATGTGTACCCTTAATCCCTCCTCTTCCTATAGCATGGACATCCCTAGATTGTCTCCCTCCCAATGCTGTACTGCCTATGGTACAACCCCTTCCTGTGACGTAGGTCATTACCTGTAATCAGAGGGCTTGTATGCCCCCAAAGATATATAAGCTTTGGTTAGAAATAAATCGCTCTCTCCTCCATCTGTGCTCTGCGTGGACCTGGCTGTTGAGATCATGGCTGTCCAGGAGGTGAGCATACTACCATAAAATGTGTCTGACTCAGTGCAAGAGTGGAGACTCAGAGTGCATCGTTTGGCAACAGAACACCCCCCTGCTGAGGGGTATGGGGAGGAGACGAGCTAATCAGGGTGCAGGGTAGCAATGATGAAACACATAACTTTCCTCTAGTTCTTTAATGCTTCCCTCCCCCAATATCATGATCCCAATTCTGCCTTGCAAATATGGCTAGACCAGAGGATGTAAATTGTACAGATAGCAACTTGAAACACAGGGAATCCAGGATAGATGACTTCTTCAGGACCAGCGATGAGAGGGGCGAGGCCTGGAGTGTGAAGGGAATGTGGGGTAGAAGAGGGAACCAATTACAAGAATCTAAGTATAGCCTCCTCCCTGGGGAATGGACAGCAGAGAAGAGGGCAGAGGGAGACGTCGGACAGGGTAACTTATGACAAATCTATAATAATTTATGAATTATGAAGGGTTCAGGGGGGGGAATGAGCAAACGATATTGAGGGCTAAAGTAGAGGGCAAATGTCTTGAGATTGATGAGGGCAACAGGTGTACATAGGCACTTGACTCAATGGATGTATGTATGGACTGTGATAAGAAAGGTACGAGCCCTCAATAAAATAATTTTTTAAAAAGAATAATGAGGGTAACAAATGTACAAATGTGCTTTATACAATTGATGTATGTATGGATTGTGATGAGTTGTATGAGTCCCCAATTAAAAAAAAAAAACACTTTAGCATCATAAAAAATATCTGACTCCTTTATTGTACCTTCTCTCCTATGACTTTACTAAAATCTTTATATATTATAACCATACGATTGTGCCTATGGACCCATGATATATTGTTAGAGGCTGGTCCCCCTGACATGCTATATTTACAGAGCACCTGAGTTCTCTTAAGAACCTGAAAATTCTGTTAAGCCATCTAAATATGGGATGGGGTTGATGAAAGTGTAAAAATCAGGAAGAAAAACAACAGTACATTCCGAGGAATAAAACTATTGATCAATCAGCTCCTTAAAAAAGTCCCGATTTTTGGAAAGAATGCATGACAAGCTAGGGTATACGGTTTTCGGCTGCCATGTGGCTATTTCGCCAGGATATGAGTTTTATCAATGGTGTCCCACTTTATCAATGTTAAACTCTGGTCACCTTACGCAAGTATCAGTAATAAATTTCTAGAACACAAAGAGATTTAGTTATTGTTCTGTGTTCCTTCTTCAAAATCATTTAGAAAACTTTGCTATTATCTTCTCTTCACTTTCTATTATGTTACAATCTTCATCTCTTGCATTCATAATCTTGGGTGAGTAGTCACATAATTTCTTTTATTGTGAAAATACACACAGCAAACCCCACATCATCTCAACCTCTCTGAGTGCAATTTAGTAATCATGATTACGTTCTTCAAGTTCTGCACCCATTCTCACTATCCTTTTTCACCAATGGCCTCCTAACTCCAAGTCCCCAAACAACACCTCCGCTGTTCACCTCACACCCATCTCTGAGTACCACTAAGCAGCTTAGGTTTCTATATATTTATGTCATGTAAGTAGAATCATATTTTCCTTTACTGATTTTTTATAACAGCAGTTTCCAAGGTTCCCTCGTGTAGGGACATGCACATCAGAACCTCAATTCTCTTTATGACCCAGTAGTATTCCATTGTGTCTATTATCACGCAATTCTGATAGGTTAATCCACTGTTCGAATTCTGTTTCTAGGGAAAACTTTCAATGTATAATATGTGAGAGAAAATTTAGAATTATCAGTATAAACATAAACATTGTAAAAGATCCATAACTTATTTTTAATATAGAACACTAATGAAACCTAAATTTGTGATATAGTTATCAAAGGTGGAGGCATTTCTCACTACATGACTTTCTTTACTGCCAGTTGCTACAAAGAATCTAAGAACATGTCTTCAGTTCTTGCCCCCTGCATTTGGAGAGTAGAGACCAGGCTTAAGGAATGGCCAGAAGGTAGACAGTGAGCTCTATAAGCTGAAAAAGTCAGGATGGCAGTTATGATATTTTAGAAAAAAGAAATACTATGTCTGATTGAGTCCTGTTCTCTATAAACACTTGCTTGTTATAGTCAATCATTATGAACTTGGATGTCTTCACCCAATTCCCGAAGACAACTTTCTGCAATGACCTTAGCCTTACATTTGACTGACCTGAGCTTGTAAATAGCTTCAATTGTAGGTAGCCTCAAACTTCTCATCATGGCTATCGACTTTCACTGGTGTCCCCTGACTGAGCTTGAAAGATAAGTTTCTAGCTGTGGATGGTGTGGTTTCTGCCAGCATATATCACTGACTGTATGTTGGCTTCAACTCCAAAGTCACTTGGTAGTACAATGTCAAGACTGCCACAAGTGCTTGATGTTCTGGTATGGTGAATTCAGTCTGAGTTCTTGCTAGGGGGATTTGGAGAAACATATAATTTTTTTTGAAACATATAAATTATCTTTGATTGCTATTTCTTGTGGATTATTTTACTCAAATGCCTTGAGTATTTCATACAACAGAAAACTGGGTATTTATCTTGATGGCAGTTTCTACAATGTCCCTAACCATTTAACTAGAATAGAATATAGTAAGAGGGATGCAAAACATTAATGGGAAAAATTCCATAATTTTTCAACACACTTTTTGAAGCACCTTCATATCTTAACACATATCCCCAAATGGTTTCTACGAGGGTGTACCAAAAAAAAATTTTTTAAGCTATGTAAATTTTTTTACAAAGCAAACTAATCACCTTCATTACACTTAATACTTTGGTCAAATCTGCAATTCCATTTTTGAAAATACTTTTCAAACTCATTTCTTTGGATGGCTACAAGCACCTCCCTCGTTGTTTTATTCGCCTCATCTAAGTCATCAAATCGTTGTCTTTTCAAGTCCCTCTTCATTTGTGGAAACAAAAACAAGTTGCATGCAGCAAAGTTAGGTGAGTATGGTGTGTGGAGCAAAAGAGGCATGCTGTTTTATGACAAACTGGCCCAGAGATGGCTGCATGAGCAGGTGCATTACTATGGTGGCAAAACCAGCCCCCATCTGCCACATTCAGGTTATTTTTGTCCCTCACTGTTATGCAATCTTTTCAGAACCTCTAAATAGAAAGTTTTATTAACAATCCGACCAGGGGGAATGAATTCCAAATGTACTACAAGTTGAGGCTTGCTATCAATAGACATTTCACCTTTTTTGACCTGAGAAAACCACTCATACATCTGAGTTTTTCCCACAGTGCTGTCCTTATAAATTGTGTTCAACACCACACCAGTTTTTGTGGCATTTTTCCCAAACAGAAAATAAAATTTCATAGCTGCACACTGAGCTCTTCAATCAGCCATTACAAAAAATGAGTTTTGAGTGAAAGTGCTTTTACGAAAAAATTCACGGTGACCAGGGAACCTTCCCAGGTGACGCTACGGGGTGCACTAACACACAGAAAGTTGCTTGATGCTCACCTAGTGGGGAAAAATGAATATTATGAAAGCTGAACTCTGCAGAGAGCAATTCCAGTGGTGGTGGGGGGACATCCCCTTGTATATGCTTAAAATCTCAAACTGCTTTATCATTGAGTTAGATCTTATTAGGG